AGAGAGAGAGAGAGAGAGAGAGAGAGAGAGAGAGAGAGAGAGAGAGAGAGAGAGAGAGAGAGAGAGAGAGAGAGAGTGGACACATGCATGAAGGGAGAGAGAAAAAAAGTGACAAAGAGGGAGGGAGTGGACACATGCATGAAGGGAGAGAGAGAAAACAAGTGACACAGAGGGAGAGAGTGGACACATGCATGAAAGTAGAGAGAGAGAACAAGTGAGACAGGGAGGGAGAAAGTCACTTTCCTGGATGAGGATGCTGGATTTGGGTTGCTGAACTCTGCGCTGTTGAGCGCTTGGTGACTGGAACTCTGAAACTGTTTAATATGATAATTCGCTGGAATTTCTAAGCTGCGCTAACCTGGACTTTGCATCTCTGGTCTCCAGTGTGGATTTCGTGCTCATTGTGTATGTGCTCGAGGTGACGAACAACATGGTTCAATGCAGCATCACCGCCGTGTCTCCCCAGCAGGCTGTCTTCTTCTCTGTGGCCCGCTTCTGTTTTCTAATGCAGTCCCTTTGTTTGTTTTCTCTCGTCGTTCTATGCATTACACTTCTCCTTCCCCTCCTTCCCCCTACCCTTCCAGAAACAATTTCACACAAGTGATTGTACCTCTGTACCTCTGTAGGGTTTTTGAAGGTGTACAGACTTCTATATCGGGGTTGTTTGCGCTTGTTTGTAACGTTGTTTTTTTCTCTTCTTCTCTGCTTCTGATCTGTGTTTTGTATTAGCTCGGCGAACACGGCAGAGTGGCCACTCATTTCGCTTGCAGTCATGTCATTGGTAAATTTTCAAGGCCGGCTTTTTTTTTTTTTATCCACTGCGGATGACGGAAACTGACAAGCCTAATCACAGCATTTCACAGGAGGATTGTTGATCAATCATTAGGAGCATCACAAGCTCGTGACGCAAGAGCTCTTCTTTCTCACTGAGGGAAGGGGAACAAGATACAGAGTAGAAAAGAGACTTTTTCTATTTGGGAGAGACACACTCTTCTTGCAGTGGTGGTTTTCATAAAGGGAGGGCAATTGCAGATCTCAAATCGCTCAGCTGCTGTGGCGGAGAAGGATGGAGAGCTATTTGAGGAAACCACTGGTGGGGGGCGATATTGAGGCTGGCTATAGAGGTGGAAGCGATGCAATGCTCTACCCAGGCCTAGCCTATGAAGATGCCTATTTGCGATGGGCTTTCATAAGGAAGGTCTATGGTATTGTCTTGGCCCAGCTTGTTCTTACGGGCCTTGCCTCGCTGGTGGTCATCATGGTTCCCGAGGTCCGAAATTTCATCTTTCTGAACCCGGCAATACTCATTGTGACGATTGTGCTGCAAATCGGGGTGCTGTTCTCGCTGTACTGGTATCATCGTAGCCATCCGACCAATCTTATACTTCTAGGAATATGGACGCTCACCTTCAGCGTCACGATAGGCTCAGTATGTGCATTCCTGCCCGGACTCATCGTGCTGGAAGCGGTGCTGCTCACAGCTGCCGTGTTTGTGTCTCTCACTGCGTACACATTTTGGGCTGGACGAAAGGGTTACGATTTCTCCTATCTTGGCCCGATGCTATTCGCTGGACTGACGGTCTTGGTGATCTGGGGTGTCGTTCAGCTGTTTATCGTCCCAGGTGCAACCGGCAGGTTCATATATGCATTGGTTGGCTCCCTCCTGTTCTCTCTTTACATCATCTACGACACCGACAATCTGATCCATCAATACAGCATCGATGATTACATTTGGGCGTCTGTGGCGCTGTACCTCGATGTCGTGAACTTGTTTGTACTCGTGCTCGACATGATCCGATACCTGCAAGGAAGTGACTGACTCAGACTGACCGCGTCGATGATTACATTTGGGCGTCTGTGGCACTGTACCTCGATGTCGTGAACTTGTTCGTACTCGTGCTCGACATGATCCGATACCTGCAAGGAAGTGACTGAGTCAGACTGACCGCATCGATGATTACATTTGGGCGTCCGTGGCGCTGTACCTCGATGTCGTGAACTTGTTCGTACTCGTGCTCGACATGATCCGATACCTGCAAGGAAGTGACCGAGTCAGACTGACCTGTGCTGTTCCTGTCTCTTATACACATCTAGATGTGTATAAGAGACAGGCTGTACCTCGATGTCGTGAACTTGTTCGTACTCGTGCTCGACATGATCCGATACCTGCAAGGAAGTGACCGAGTCAGACTGACCTGTGCTGTTCTGGGTGCAGTGCTGTTCTTCTGGGGGCGCTTCCGCATAATTTTCTTTTTCCGAGACCATGCTTTGGTGGTTGGAAGATGTTGTGAGAAAGACTTCTCGTCACAGGCGAGATGTGCTTGGTCGAAGGACATTTGGGCAGCACTGTGCTTTCACAGTTAGGGCGGGTTGTTGTAGGGACCACCATTGGTCGCTGTGGGAGGGTGAAAGGTGCTGCAAGGGGGGGTAAGGGGGGGGGGGAAGGGGGCAGTGTTCAGCCACCAATCACAAGTCCTCTGATTCTGCGGGAGCGGTTCCCGGCACTCATGCGTGCCAGGGTTTCTGTCATGGAGGCACTTACAGACGAAGCCTACACACTTCTTTGCATCTGTCTGGCATCTTATATTTTCTGCTGGCCGTGTGGAGGAGATGGTGCTGCTGCGATGGCAGCAACTTCTTTAGCATTTTTCACTTCTCTTTTTCCAATCCGTCGGAGAAAGTAAGCGAAAGCTATCTCAGAGAGAGTGTCTAACCTAGTCCCGCTTTTCTACCCCCCTGACCAGTTGGCCCTCCGCTTCACCGCCCTTTCTGTAGTTTGTTCTCACTCATGTTCAGCCAGCTGATCAAGTCCTCCATCTCTGCCATCTTAGCACATCTGAGGTGGTGGGCGTTGCATGCTTTTTCTACTGCAGCCTGTGCACATTGTCTTCACCACTGCACTGTCAGCCACCTACATTTCGCCCTCTTCTTGCTCCTCACCATCTGTTGCCTCCCATTTCATCCTCTCTCTCTCTCTCTCTCTCTCTCTCTCTCTCTCTCTCTCTCTCTCTCTCTCTCTC